TTTTTTTTTTTTTTTTTTTTTTTTTTTTTTTTTTTTTTTGCAAGTATATTATTCCAATTTTACCCTTAGTGTATGAACAAATGTTTATATTTTGTTTATAAAGTATATATTAGCGACTTGTATTCAAATGCAATTTCAGTAGTAACGTTAACTATCATTTAAAAGACATTATAAATTATAGATCAAATTACATATTTAGTTTGAAATAAAATGTTAGGCTGAATTTATAAGAGACGCAGTATGCTCCACGTCGCCCCCAATTACCACACACCAAACGGCAACGTACCCTCCACCAACCCCGCCAAGCGAGAGTCTACAAAATCAAGACCAAAATGCACCATTTGCATCCCCACCGGCCCACCACCTCACCGCCGTTCGAACAGCACAGCCATGCGAGTCACAGTATCAGCAACCACTCCCATTCTTCCTTCCCATCCCGCCTTCGCTCACGGCCATGTCCTCCCTCTTTCTCATCTCGACACAGATCCCAATCTCCGTGTCAGTTTCCGCTACCTTCGGGCCTATGTCTCCACCAACGCCCACCAATCTCCTACCCCCGATCCCGTCGACGTCATTGCTACTGCCCTCTCCTCCGCCCTCCTCCATTACTACCCACTCGCTGGAACTCTCCGCCGTCAGAATCACCGCCTCGAGCTATTCTGTACTCACGGCCAAGGCGTCCCTCTCATCCGCGCCACCGCGGACTGTGAACTCGCGTCGGTTGATTACCTCGATAACCCGGACGAAACTTTTGTGGAGCAGTTGGTGCCCGATCCGGACGAGAATGAGGGGCTGAACCACCCTTGTATTCTACAAGTTACTCTGTTCGAATGCGGTGGGTTCACTCTCGGGGCTTCCATTCATCATTCTGTGTGCGACGGACTTGGGGCAACTCAGTTTTTCAATGCTGTGGCTGAATTAGCCCGTGGGGCGAGGACGGTGTCGATCGAACCAGTCTGGGACAGGGCTAGTTTGTTGGGCCCGAGGAATCCGCCCCGAATTGAGGTACCAATCGCAGATTTTTTGAGTTTAGAACATGGAAATTTACCCTACAGTCAAGAAGTTGGGGCGGTTGTGAGAGAATGCTTCCCTGTTACGGACGATCAACTGGAGAGGTTCAAGAGCATGTTGTTCAAACAATCTGGCTCTCGATTCACCGCGTTTGAAGCCCTGGGTGCATATATATGGCGCGCCAAGTGAGTCGAATTCTACCATGTCTGTTAATTTTGTGTTCCTGGTCTTTTATTGTTCTAACTTTTGGGGCTTCCTTCCATTCCCAGAGTGAAAGCCTCGGAAATTGCAGGCAATGAGAAGGTGAAATTCGTGTATTCGACAAACATACGGAAACAACTAAAGCCGCTGTTAAGGATATTTAGTAATAAATTATACTTTCCCGTATATATTATATTTGATATTTTATTATAAGGCAAATATCTAATATTTGCCTTATTACTATAGATATCTTTCCATTTATTGTTATTTCCATTTATTACTATTTCCATATCCTTGTAATTTATTCGATTATAAATAAGATAACTTTCACACCATTTAGGTGTGGTGGATTAATCAAACATTCACATGGTATCAGAGCCATTTTGGTTTAGCAACCTAGATCCTTTCTTTTCAATGGCTTTTGAAATCTTCTACTATTCTTCTCCACCACCACTGTTGTCTTTGATGCCGCAGAGGCAGTCGTCATGGCTGTCACATGCAGAGCCGATTGATTATTCTTCGGCTCCACCCTTTTGACCTCCAAATCATCCTTCGCCATAGTCTGTACATACAACCTCACCTTTTCCAAACATAGCCTCTTTCATTTTCTTCCCAATTTTCCTTTCATCCTTCATCCTTCATCCTTCACAAAAACCCTAATCTTAGGATCTTCATCAGCATTTCTCTTCGAAAATATACAGAATCTCAATAAGCCCATCGACCTTCTGTAGAGATTTACCTTTGGAATCTGGGCGCCGCACTGGCATCTTCGCCAACCAAGTTGCCGCCGCCCTTCTCGCCAAAATTGGCTCCTTCGCCCCAATGTGGCGACTCTTCCAGCTGCCCTTCTCACCAAAATTGGCTCCTTCGCCCAATGTGGCGACTCTTTCGGCTTCAACATTGTCTTTGTCCCTTGCTCTAGGTTTCCCCTTCTACTTCTTGGGGTTAGACATATTCTCACCAGAGTCAAGGCAGCATCGTCGCTAAGCGACAATCCCTCTTCATGGGTTAGACATATTCTCGTCGAAGCCAAGGCAGCATCGCCGCTAAGCAGCAATCCCTCTGCAATTTTCGATGGCCAAGAAAGTGTTTCTCTACGCCTCCTCTGAACCAGGTTGTTGACATCTTCACGAAAAGTGTTTCGCAACCTCTTTGAATTTTTCAGATCCAAGCTTCACGTTCGTTCAAATCTGACGCTCAGCTTGCGGTGGGGTGTTAAGGATATTTAGTAATAAATTATACTTTCCCGTATATATTATATTTGATATTTTATTATAAGGCAAATATCTAATATTTGCCTTATTACTATAGATATCTTTCCATTTATTGTTATTTCCATTTATTACTATTTCCATATCCTTGTAATTTATTCGATTATAAATAAGATAACTTTCACACCATTTAGGTGTGGTGGATTAATCAAACATTCACAGCCGCCATTACCGGTGGGTTACTATGGCAATGGTTGCGTTCCAATTTACGTTACACTCACGGCGGAGGAGATCAGAGAGCAACCCATTTGGGAGACGGCGAAGAAGATCCAGAAGAGCAAGATCAATATAAGCGACGAGTATGCACGATCTTTCATTGACTTTCAAGAGATTCATTGTGGGGAGGGAATCACTTCGGGGAAAGATGTGAGTGCGTTCACAGACTGGAGACATTTGGGGCATTCGACGGTGGATTTCGGTTGGGGAGGTCCGGCTACGGTGCTGCCACTTTCTCGTTTCCTTCTTGGGAGTGTGGAGCCTTGCTTCTTCTTGCCTCATTCTTCTGCAACTTCGAGCACGGCTGGGTTTAAGGTCTCCGTCGCTTTGAGGAAACCGGCGATGCCCTGTTTCAGAGAGGAGATGAAGAAGTTTGGTGATGATGATTTCGGGGTTATTGAGCTAAATTCGCTTCTCTAGTACCCAAATTTGGATCAAATTATATATGAATGTTTAAATTGTCTATTTGTTCTTGGAAGTTCTAATAAAAGCAAACATTTTTTTTATTTCTATATTGCAATTATTTAATACTGTCTCTATTGGTACGAACACTTTTTGATAAGCCCAGCAAAGACATGAGAGATAATTTAAGTATTCATCGTACCTTTATAATCAAAGAATATTATCTCTCGGTTGGTATGAGCCATTTTAGAAAAGCTCAGAGGTCATGAGAGCTATCATACTATCATATTATTATCGAGAGTCGAGTTTATCTAACACCGGATAAAGTCTCGTAGAACCCTCTTCAAACCTTTTAAAATAAAAAATACTTCTAAATTTGGTTTTTTATTTCAAATCCTTTTTTTTTTAAATTGTAATATTATCTTTTAATGTCTTACAATTACTTAAAAAACTATTATTTGAGTAAAAAAAAAAAATAATAATAATTAAATAATTAAAGATATATTTTTTATTTATTTAGGGTATTAATTTAGCCTAATTTTTTTAAGGGTGGATATGAGTGTATGAGTAGGCTAATAAGCAGAACTTTAGAGAGAAATCTATCCACTCTCTTATCCGCAACCCAACGAACCAATACAAACCATTTATTAAAGTTGAGAAGGAGTTTTCAAGGATTCGCACCCACAGTAGAACTCAGTCATGGCGTTCGCTCTGGGAGGACCTTCCTCAACTGCGATCTTGGCCTCTCGATCTATCTCTTCTCCCTCCCCTCGGCATTTTGCCCCTCTTCTCTCTCTAACTCCAGGTACATTTCCATACAAACTAACCGATTTTCTCTCTTTTTTTGCTTATTGTCGTCTTTTAATTCGTTTTTAATTTCTTTTATGCTCTCTTGAACCCTAATATTTGAAAATCTGATGATCAGAATCTTGAGTTTCAGCAGTTCTTAAGAAGTTGATGATTTTGCAGGTCATGCTAATGGGAAGAAGTCTTTTGGGAGTATTAGGATTCAGGGGAAGAAAGGAAGGCCTCAGGTCCAATGCAATGTTGCCACTGAAATAAACACTGTCGAGAAGGTTTGTTTCCCACCACCTACAATTTAGTTCGTTTCTGTGTATACAAGCTGCATTCATGAAGCTCTTTAAAACTACGTTTTGTGTTCCAGTTCTAGTAAGCTAACTGTAAACTGAAGAAAATTTGATGGCATACAATTTAAGCCTTTTCGACTAGATTTACAATTTCTTGAATATCGCACTAGATGGAGGACAATGGTTGATAAGATCTTTACTTCTATGATATCTTTACTGGTTAATGAACTTAGAGGATCTTGCTTTAAACAATTCTTTTACAGTTTCTTTAGAATGAAAAGAAAGGGGAAAAAAAGAACGATTGGATTTCAAGATTAGATGAGTGAATAATATATTCATGACTTTTCAGGCTGCGAATATCTCAGAAGAGAGTCAGAGGCCTGTTTATCCATTTGCTGCCATAGTAGGGCAGGATGAGATGAAACTATGCCTTCTTCTGAACGTTATTGACCCAAAAATCGGAGGTGTCATGATCATGGGTGATAGAGGAACAGGAAAATCAACCACGGTTAGGTCCCTGGTCGATTTGCTCCCTGAAATCAGAGTTGTGTTTGGGGATCCCTACAATTCTGACCCTGAGGACCCTGAATCAATGGGTATTGAAGTGAGGGAAAGTCTGGGGAAAGGAGAGCAACTTTCAGTGGTGATGACCAAAATCAATATGGTTGATCTGCCATTGGGTGCTACTGAAGATAGAGTTTGTGGGACTATTGACATTGAAAAGGCACTTACTGAAGGTGTGAAGGCGTTTGAGCCAGGCCTTCTTGCTAAAGCTAACAGAGGCATTCTGTATGTGGATGAAGTAAATCTTTTGGATGATCATTTAGTTGATGTCCTACTGGATTCTGCTGCCTCTGGTTGGAACACAGTTGAGAGAGAAGGCATTTCCATTTCCCATCCTGCTCGGTTCATTTTGATTGGTTCAGGAAATCCAGAAGAAGGGGAGCTTAGGCCACAGCTGCTCGACCGGTTTGGAATGCATGCACAAGTTGGCACTGTAAGGGATGCCGAGTTGAGAGTGAAGATTGTCGAGGAGAGGGCCCGGTTCGACCAGAATCCTAAGGAGTTCCGTGAATCTTACAAGGTTGAGCAAGAAAAGTTGCAACAACAAATTTCCTCAGCTAGGAGTTCACTTTCTTCTGTGCAGATAGATCAGGATCTAAAAGTGAAAATCTCGCGAGTTTGCGCGGAATTGAATGTCGATGGATTGAGAGGCGACATTGTGACTAATAGAGCTGCAAAGGCTCTTGCAGCCCTGAAGGGAAGGGATAAAGTTGCTGCTGAGGACATAGCCACCGTGATTCCCAACTGCTTAAGACACCGTCTTAGAAAAGACCCATTGGAGTCCATTGATTCTGGTTTGCTTGTGATTGAGAAATTCTATGAGGTATTTAGCTGAGAAAGGTGATACAGGTAGCCTTATCTTTGCAACTCTTTTTGTAAGTTGTTACAAAGTGACACCATTGTGCTTTTTGTTTGTAGTGTTTCATTTTGCATTTATATGAGCAGAACTTTACAGATTTGCAATGCACAGGTAATGCTGTTTAGATACAGGAAAAGAAGCAGTAGAATTGAAGCCATTTATGGTATTTCAGCTTAAGCATTGTAAGTTAAAATAATTTCAAAATCATTAACACGTTTTGCATTCTATAATGGCATCCATTAGGTAAGGTGCTGTTTCTTCTTTCTTAGTGTTCTCTTCATCATCTTCAACGCTTTTTTTTTTTTTCCCTTTTTCTTGCATAACCGGTTGATTTTCCATACTGAATACCGTCCCAACCCATGTGGGATCTCACAATCCACTCTCTTGTGTCAGTGTTTTTTTTTTTTTTTATAAAAAGAATTTTGAAAATTATAATTTAATAATAAATGAACGGAGACCTAAATATGTTTCTTTTCTTCCGTTTCGAACACGAAGCTCAAAATCTGTCTTTGATTTCGTTTTCGGTGTAATAAAACATGAATGATCCTAGAAAAATGATGTTTGTTATTTAAGTTCCCAGTTTCCAACGATGCTTAAAAGTCAAGATTTAGCTTGAGTGGCCATTTTGTTTTAAAGAAAACAGGCATTAAACTGAAAGCGCCAATTTATTTTCCCCCAAAAAAGAATAATTAGGAAAAAAAAATATGTAGCGTTCAATTTGAAAATTCCCTACGAGAAATGTGAAGTCAAATTAGAAGTAATATCGTATTGCCTCAATTTTCCGCCCCTCTATTCGGAATTAATTTTATTTATTATAATTAAATCTTTTTTATTATTTAGTTTCTCAACACGTGCCTAGGATGCTTTATTTATTTATTTATTTATTTTATCATATTCAATATTTCCAGCGCATTTACAAAATTTTAATAAATCTTTTTTCAAATCTAATTTAAACACACTACAGTCCATTAGACATTAATTATAATAAATTAATCATCCTTTATTATTGCGATGATAATAAATATAAAATAAATACAATAATATACTCAGAAAATTGCTAATAAAATTGTGTCTATTAGGAGATGAATTATATTGTTTGTTAATTGTCATTTGTAACAGCTCGAGCCACCATTTTGGTTCATTATATATTATCGTAACCTTACCGTTTTAAAATGTGTCTATTAGGAAGAAGTTTCCACACTTTTATAAGGAAGGATTAGTTCCTTTGTCAAACTGACGTGGGATCTCACATAACTCAGAAAAGAAAGCCGAACAATATCTACTAACGGTGGTTTTGGCTGTTACAAATGTATCAAAACTAGTCACCTAACAATGTGTCATGAAAGACGCTAAGCTCCAAAGAGGGTTGATTGTGAGATCCCACATTGGTTGGAAAGGGGAATAAAGTATTCCTGATCAAAATGTGGAATACTATTCCTAGTAGACAAGTTTTAAAACCGTAAACAACCACGTGTAATTGCCCAAAATGGACAAATATCAGCTCATGTTGGGCATTTAAATTGCAAAATTAAATATTAATAAATGTATATATTTATTTAAAGTTGTAATGAAGGGACTCGCCTTGCACCAGGTATACTTATTTAGTAAATAATTATTGCATTCATAACGCAATTATAGGCTATTTAATAACCTAATCTATTTATTAAATAACAAAAAATTACTTTCAATTATCCCAACTAGATATGTATCTTGCGCCAAGAAAAAATAGAAAATATCAGAGAGAAGAAAAAAAAACTTTGAAAAGTTAATAAGTAATAAATGTTAAAAGAGGGGCCAAAACACAATTAACATAAAAGTTGTGGCCCAAAATAAAATCGAGACCAAGTTTTAATTTTAACGTAATTAAAGTCAATACTGAAAACGACGGCTATGAAAGACTTAAGAGTCATCTTTTGTCGAATAAATATAATGAAATTTTAATCTTTCAATCTTAAAGTTCTTCAAAAAAAAAAATATATATATGTTGGTGTGAAATTAAAATCTTAACACAAAACGCCCTTGATTCAATCATGGGTTCCGACGACGAAGATCATCACTTACGGAAGTTCCAATCCCGCCACAAGATCATGATTTCTGCAATTTTCAGTCTATTCGTCGTCGTTTTGGTCATCCTCTTCCTCCATTTTTATCTCAGATATCTCCATAGGCGCCGAAGGCAATCCAGATTAATTAATCTCGAACACCAGATTTCACGGGCCGATCGCCAAAATCACACGGCGGCGACTGCGGCGGCGACGGCACCGGCGCCTAAGGCTGGCCTGGACCCTGTTCTTATAGCCAAACTTCTGCAGGAATCTATCCACGAGCAAGCCGATCATCACGGTGAAATTGTGGAGTGCTCGATTTGCTTGAGCAACATCGAAGAGAAAGCCACCGTCAGGATTCTCCCCAATTGCAAGCACATATTCCATGTGGAGTGCATCGATATGTGGCTTTTTTCCAACACAACCTGCCCTGTCTGCCGGACGGCGGTGGAGCCGATAGTTACAGCGACGGAGGACGGCGAGACTCCGACGGCTCCGCCGTTAGAGGAAGAGCAATCCGGGTCTAGGTTCAGCTCGTTTAGAAGGACAATGAGCAGAGAACGGTCTCAGACAGTTCAGCCGACGGCTCCGCCATTGACGGAGGAGCAATCGAGCTCGCGGCTGAGCTCTTTTAGAAGAATGATGAGTAGAGACAGAGAGAGATCGTTTAGGGTTCACAGATGTGGAGAAGGTTCGGTTCGACCAGCAGACTTGGAGAGGCAATGATTTCAATTTTTGTACAGCACACGCACACTTGTTATTGGCTTACAGGTTCGTGCTGCATGAATACAATTTTATAAACCATCACTGCCTCTGTTTTTGTTCTTGGGTGTTTCAATATTGTTCTAATAACTCAGAATTTTTGCTTGCACTTCGCCTACTTATTCTTTATACATTTGCCTACATGTATTTTTTGTTCAATTATTTGCAACTTTCTTCCCTTTCCACTATAATCCTTCATATGCCTTTGCTTTTCGTGTGTATATGTATATATATGGATATGAAGATTTAATTTCCGGACTTCAAAAGATATGATCATTTATAGTGAGTTATACTTAAATTAATTATAGTGAGTTATACTTAAATTAATTTTTACTTTTCAAGTATAACCACGCAGATGGTATATTAATTGGGAAGATTAGCCAGGGAAATTCAAATCAAATTTCTAGAGGAAGTTGTTGATTTCAATATGTAGATTTTTCAAAGCCGTGTAGGATCTTAGGTTACTTTATTGAAAGAACAGCTTCTTGTTTCTGAATATTTTACCATTATGGTAGGTATGAAAGGAGTTTTAAACCTGCTATTCTCAATTTGATTTAAATAATAACAGTTTGGTCAAACTCACGTATGAATATAGCTCACCTGCTCAGTATTTGAATCCAGTTTTATATTTTTAATTAATATTCTTACGTATTTTTCTTGGTGTTTTTAGTGTGGTTGGTATTTTTATTGTTGATGATGAATCAATCAACAACCAGATTAAAGAGAAATCGTAGACGTAAAATAGTAAAAAGTTGGCAAGAAACACAAATCTTGCCCAAGCCTATAATGAAATACACGTTTTTTCCCTTAAAAGTAGACAATGAAGGCAGTCGCCCGCCATCAACAACTAGAGGGAAATAAATATTGAATAGAAGCATGAACATCATCCTACTGTTGAAGTCGGCGGCTGTCATAAAAATACATTGAAAGTCAGCAAATCGTAGTAGCATCCACATTTAAGAGTGTTTAGTTAACTCATCTCGCCGTTTTCTGTCACTAACTCGGGGAAAGAATGACCCAAAGCCTGAAACCAATCTAATATTCTTTTACAATCTCTAGAGACTTCAATCGTTAGCATTTTACACCTTGAATCTGCAAACTCATCACCATATAAGCTTAATATCAAAACTTCTTCAGCAGATTAACTCATTTCAGTGATGCCTCCTACTATATTATCAATTTCTTCTCAACGTGAATATCTGATGTCCTCCATCTCTTTAGCTGCTGCACACAAAATTTTAACGGTAACCTTTTCCTCTTCCCCGTCCACCCCAACCTCTTCCTCGACCACCCCTCATCCCTCCACGGCCGCCATAAGATAACCCTTCCAATGCCCTATTAACAAGCTGATTATGCAAACCACCCGGTCCACGACCTTTCTTTGATGGTATGTTGTTTGATACATTAGCTGCAATAGCAGCAGGCCGTTTTCCCCTGCACAGAAAGACATTTTTTTTTCTAAGAACACAGATGTCGCTCATTGCAGAGAGCTCTAGTGGGATGCTATATAAAAATAAAGTGAATATAGGAAGTTCATCGTCCAAAAGTCTCTTAGGCCTATTTAAGAACCTACAATGAGAACCAAATAGTTATTAAATTTAGTATGAACTACGAGATTTATGTCATTTTGGCTTTTGTACTAGTTACAAAGTTGAAAGTTTAGGAACCCAATAAACACTTTTGAAAGTTCAGAGACCAAATAAACATAAACCTCTAAGACTACACTCGTATAACCACCTACTCATCCAAAGAACAAAAAAGAAACACTACTGGTAGCACATAATCTGTAGAAGGGAGAACAATCATTGACCAAAGGGCCTAAATTACTAGTTAACTTACCCAGCTGCGGTTGTGGTAGTGGACACGTGAGTTTTTGTTACTTCCTTCCAAGATAGGTTGATGCTCTTATCCCCAATAAATGAGGGTGCCTTTGCGTGCAAGGGCTGAAAATAAAAATAAAGATTGGGTTAGACGAACCAAATATCAAAAATATTACAACAAAGTTACGAAGCACACTGCTTTCTCACCTTTGCCATCACTAAAATATTATTGCAGGTCCGCAAGCCAGTTTTGGCATTTTGCTGTTGGGTTTTCTACAAAACAAGAAGACAAAAATATAAAAATAAAAAAAAGAACAATGACCACATGTTTATGGCAAACTAAAGTGAAAGACCATAGGTTTAATGAGAGAAGCACTCACAATTTTACTTTTTGCTTCCTCCGACTTGGCTGCTGCCATCGCCTTGTTGTGTTCATCCATCCCTTGAGTTAACTTCTTAATGGTAGCTCTAGTCAACTCCTCGATATTAGTTAACCTGCAGGTCGGAAATTGATCAACCATCAATCAGCGTGGTGGTGTTGGTGTGGGGGTGTGAAGGTTCAGCAAGGCTTTAAAGATGAAAAAGACAGCAAATGGGACACCC